TTTTCAGTCAATAGGGATTATAGCATCACCCATGTATCTAATGCACTTTCAATGGCAGTCCCATTAGCAGAGGGATCGCTAACTTGCCTCTCAGCGACATTACTCTCCGCTGTCGCATGGTCTGAGATCACACTACTGTCAGCTGGAATAGGTTCTGGTAATGCTGAGCATGTTTCAGATGCAGGTCTACCATTCTGACTGATTTCATTTTCTTGAGTAGCAACTTGATTTATCTCAGCAGCTGGTTTCCTTTCCAAAACAAACCTAAATATATCAGTGAGAATAAAATAGCCACCACCTTTCTGTGGTGCTAGGAAGAACGACTGGGTAAACCTACGGAAAACGCCTTCATCTGAAGTCAAGGATCCAGTAACAACAATGAGCACCCCATCCTTGTTAGATAATTGTGCATCTGCACTCTCTATCTCTGTTGTGCAGTTCCTGAAGTCCATAGATACAATTTTTTCATTAATGCCCTGTACAGAAAAATGGTGGTTCCAAGAGTTAATCTCAATTTCAGACAGCATGCATATTGTACGAATAAGTCAATAATTCCTCATACGAGAACTTACACTCTTAGTGGTTACATACACCATAGTTCCATTGGAATCTGGTCGACCAAGAATACTTGAATCTTGGTAAAACTGCTGCACTTGATCTGGTTGCTCATGTAGAATGCGGAAATATTGCCGAACAAAAGCACCACCTATCTATAAACAACAACAACAACAAAAAAATTGAAACAAAAGGCAGGAGCTCTGCCGCTCAATTAAGACGAAATAAAGTAATAATGTACAAGAAGGTTAGCCAACCGAGTAGCCAAAATGGCACCCGAGGGGCTAACCACCCCACGCGACGCGATTGAGCACAAACACGACACACTGCCATGGATCATCGTTGCCGAGCATGGAAGCAAAGCTGCCAGCAGCTTGGACTTCCCATGGCAGGCCACCCACTGGTCACCTCCCGACGGGTCCAAAGGAACGACCGCCACCGGTCATCGTTGCCAAGCTCAACCCACGAAGAGCAGCTCCGACTTCCAGTTGCAAACCCATGCCTCGCATCGAGGCCGCGGCGATAATCCAGATGCGGCGCTTCAGAAGGGAGCGGCGCCGATGGGCGCCACCGTCGACGTCCAAAGTGGACCGGGTTTTCACCCTTGGATGACATGCTAGAGGGGAACACGACGCCCCCAACAGGGAAGCGGCACCCAAAGGCGTCGCCGTCGCCAAGGCTTTCGCCCAAGAACCCTCTAGCACGAACGCCGGGTCACGGCGGACCCCCGCCATAACACCGCCATCGTCGCCGTCATCCGCCGCCCCACGGAAGCCCCTTGAGAGGGCATCGGCCGACGCCGGCCAGACGCAGAAGCCGAGACAACGACGCGTCGGCCGTCACCCCCCTCCGTCAAGCCGCGATAGCGGACTGGCTCCGCCGCTTCGCGTCCCAATGCCCGCACGACGAGGTCGCCACAGACCATCTTCGTCGGCCCGAGCACCGCCGATGTCGCGGCCCGACCTCGCCGCCCGGTATAGCAGTAGTGTGCCCCACCATCTCGGCGCGCCCCGCCTACGGGACCGCCAGATCCGGACACCAGAGCCCGAACGGCGCCCCATACGCGCGCCGCGCCCTCCGTCTTGATCACGACCGCAGCACCGCGCCGCCGCCGCCCGACCGAGCCGAATCAGCCACTGAGTCTAGATCGGCCTCCGCACCGGATCGACCACATGGGCGGACCGGCGGCCCAGTGTCGCCGCCGTCGCCGTCAAGAGAGAGGAGGAACGCGGAGAGAAGGAGAGCTCCGCCGCCGTCCCTCGCGCCGGCTCGGGTGGCACTAGCCGCGCCGCCATAGCCAAGCTGACGGCCCCCACATTGAGCTCCACGCAGCTCACGCGAGAGGGGGGACCGTCGACTTCTTTGACGCCGCCGAGAGAGAGAAAAAGCCCGCCGCCGCCATCCTATGCCTGGGCGCGGGCATGCCTGCTGCCACCCGGCTGCAGCGGTGGCGGGGAGGAGGAGGGAGGCAGCTAGGGTTTGGGGGGGGAGCCAGCTGAGAGCCGCTTCAGCGATGGGAGCGACAGGGGTGGTTCACAACTTCTAAACAACAAAAATAACATTCGACAATATTTGTGACAATCCCATGCAATGAATTGAAACATAGGAGAATATAGATTACCACGTAGGGAGTTATAGGGTGGTTTACTGGGTTCCCTGCTTGCCCTACCATTTCTGAGGGGAAGAAACAAATTAATGCCTTGCCACAAGCACGATAGTTATGCCTCACAAGAACCACAAGCACAAATGCAGCTTGTAGAAGTGGACAATCAAGGATAGAAAAGGAATTAGAAAAGCAACTGAGGGGATTAACAAATTAATGCGTTACCACAAACATGACAGTTATGCCTCACAAGAACCACAAGCACAAGTGCAGCTTTTAAGGGTAGAAAGGAATTAAAAAACGACAAGCAAACCATAAACATTTAAATCTGTCCAAATAGGCATAATGTAAACTAGAATTTTTATATATACTAAAAAAAGACACATGCCTGGTTTCAACGATCAGTCAAATAGAATCCATAGGTCAAAAAGGCATAATTATATGCCCAAACTACTAAACATCAGCCACTTTCTGAGTTTCCTATCCAACAACCCCAACAAGATTATCACTGCTGTAAAAAGATACTGAAAAAGAATTGCATAACAATTCCTTTCAAGAAAGTTCAAAACAGGTAGCCAATCACTAATGACACTTGTAAAACAGAAGCTTCAATCACTGTAACCTTTGGTTTTAACACACTAGTTCACAATAAACAAGTGTTACACACACCATATTCCTCTTCGAACCTGCTATGCTACGGAAGCGAATCAGACAAATCAAATAGGCAATGCACAACTCTATAATAAGGATTGCGTTATCGCGCGTTATCGCGCGTCGTCCTCCTCCCGCGACGCCCTCCTCACCTCTGCTCCTGCCCCCGCTGGCACCCCTCCACCACCGCACCCTCCCTCGCGCACCCACCAGCCACGGCCGGCGGCTCCCGCTGATTCCAGCCACCGCCTCCTCGACCCCGCCCTCCCCTAACCACAGGGCAGCTCGGCGGTGGCGGCGTCCTCGTCCTCGCCCCCGCCCTCCCCTAATCACAAGGCATCTCGCCAACGACTCCGCTGCAACACACCCACCGCCAACCCCGCCCAACCGCCGTCTCCCACTGCCCCACCCCACCAACGTCTCGCCCGCCACCACCGCCATGTCACGGCCACCACCACCCAAACTCCCTTCTAAAGCCGGCGGTGAGCAGATGCCTAACCCCATGAGTCTTCTTCTTCCTCTCTCGTGGGGTGCACGGGCGCGTATGGGTTGTGCGCTTTCCCAACGCGTGACCCATTGCGTGTTTGACATTGCGCTATAATAAGGTTCTAAATTGAACATGACCAACCACAGGGTCAATGAGTCCAACCAAATACTAAGCAAGATAAACCCTGCGCCCATGGAAAGATGACATTTTGATGGTATTGAATAATACCCATGAGCACAGAAACAGCATTGCATAGCCAAAGATACCCATTGAAATCAAGATTTCATCAAAATCGGAGATGGAAGGGAGAAAAAATTAGGCAGACTCGCGAAGGCTACATACCTGGCGAACTAATCAATCATCCTAGTAATCCACAAGAGAAAAAAAAAATTGACCCCTCAAGATCGCGCATGAACAAGGACAGTAACGGATTAAATCGAAAAAAAAAGAAACGAGGCGGAATACCTTGCTCGCGGGGCGAGGGGTCGGCCAGGTGCGACCGAGGAGGAGACGGGCGAGAGGGTTTCGTCGTCGTCGCCGCCGCGAGACGACGACGCCGGCGGTCGCGGAGTGGGGCGGGAGGAAACCCTAGAAAAAGGCTGAGGACGGAAGAGGCGGCGTGTTGCGATTGCGACTACGTACGGTCCGTTTTACGCAGGGCGAGCCGGGGAGGGGAGCGAGGGGTTTAAAAGGCTACAAAGGGATTTTGCACCCGTACTCGTGCGTCGTCGTGTGTTTTAAAAGGGGGAGGAGCGAGGGGTTTCAGGCCAAAAGGCTACTAAAGCCACAAGGGATTTTGCACCCGTACTCGTGCGTCGTCGTGTGTTTTTAAAACCTCCTTTTACTTTCCCCGTCGGGTTTTATCACTGCTGCGTCGCTGACTCGTGGGGTCCACTGGTCTGGCGGGCGAGGGCGACGGGGCAAGTGGGGACTCAGGAAATTTTTGTAGAAAAAATCGGAAGCGATTTCATGAAAACTTGCCCAGAACATTTCTTCAGCGTCGTCGCCCTGCTGAAGCTCATCGACGGCGCCGTCGCCGAGGACTACGACGCCACGGCAGCTGCGGGTGCTTTTTAGTTGTTCATTCAAGCAAAATTTGCAGTTAATAATTTCAAAAGGAAATTTCCTGTTAATCGGGCTCAAGAAGACGGGGCGCCGCCATCCTCCTCTGGCGAAAGCACGAGGATGCCCTCAGGTACATGATTTGTATACGGTTTTCCGATAGTTCTGGACCGAAAAATGAGGGACGAAATTGAGCCAAGCGCCATACTTGAGTGGACGAATTCGGCTATTTGCCTTTTTAAAACCTCCTTTACTTTCTCGGGCATCCTAAGAAATCCACCAATCTCAAATTTGATTTGACTAATTTTATATTGACATTTATATCTCTAAACATATTTACTATAAATAATATATATGACATGATGAATCTAATAATTTTTATTTGGTATTATAAACATTAATATACTTTTAATATATTGGACAAACTTGAGATTAGTTGACTCCTCGAGATGTAAAAACTATATCATCGTATATGGAAAAGAGATATTTAAGGTGTATTTAGTACAACTCAGCTTCATCGGTGAAAAAGTTTTTACTTTAGCTCGAAAAGTAGCTCTACCGATAGATGTGAAACTGTTTTAGTGAACCGTTTGGTAAAATAGTTCCTCTAATTTTTTTTTTGCGTCTTGATGCTTCGTTCAATCAGGAAACAGCATGATTACAATCTTCAGTCAGCAGATCGGCAATGCAGGATGGGGCTAACTGCCACTCACCCACCCTGTTGCTATCTGAGACTTGCTTTGCTAGAGTATGGGCTACACGATTACAAATTCTATTAGCATACACCAGAGAAAAATCAACAAAGGAAACACTAAGCTCTCTTATTTCTCTGATGATCGGTGAAATGCAAGATCTCTGATTTTCTCCCATCTCCCAAAGCTTCAACAATTCTTGGTTGTCTGTTTCCACCTGCAATCGGCGGACATTTAACTCCCCAGCCAGAATCACGTCATCCCTACACACTTCAGCTTCCATTGACAAGGCGTTCAGTCCATGCTGATGCCAGCGTGCTCCACCTCCTTTGTAAGTTCCTGTATGATCCCGGAGCACTACCCTAGTTGCACCCTGTCCCTGGTTTGCATCAAAAGCGCCATCAACATTGCATTTTACCCAGCCAACAGGTGGCATATTCTATTTTCTGATAACAATTGCACCCTTTTGTCGTGATACAGTGAGCAATTGGCATAGATCATGAGCAGTGTCTACAGACCACTATACCAGCTTCCTCAGCGGGGGGCGATCGGCACCATGCCGAAGTTTGTTTCTTTGCAGCCAGAGCATACATCCCAATGCAGAAGACGTTGTGGTCATGCTCAGAACAGAACTCCGGTTTCATTATGTTGCTCGCCCAGGTGTGAGGGTGGAGCCGCGGCAGTTTGGCTCCAGACAGAGATCTCATCTCCTGCCAAAAAATTCTAGCAACTGTGCATTCAGTTAGAGTATGTTCAATAGAGTCCCTATCAGCTCCACAGATGTCAAAAAAACTCCAGGGTTCAATGTGCCTTCGGTGGAGGACATCCTTTGTTGGGATAAATTCATGGAGGACTATCCACCAGAAGACCTTCACTTTCGGTGGAACTTGCAACTTCCAAATACGTTTCCAGGATTCATCACCCGAAGCACTAGCTTGGAAGGTTTGGGGTGCAGCCAACTTCCTATAAGCCGACTTGACTGTATATTCACCATGCTTCTCCGGCTCCCAAGCCCACCAGTCCTCCTCTTGTGGTCGCACAGGAATCCGAAGAATAGCTCGAGCATCAATGGGTAGGAAGATGGACTTAATAAGATCTTCATTCCATCGTCCAGCCTCTGTCATTAGCTCCGACACGCGGCTCACTTCGTGACCTGCATTAGGTGTAATCGGCCGCACATCGAAATGCATTGGAATCCAACGATCATTCCAAATATGTGTCAAGCTGCCATCACTAATTCGCTTGATCAATTCCCTTTCCAGAACTTCTCTACCAGCGAGTATCGATCTCCATGTGTGACTAGCATGCTTCTTCCGCGTACTACTCAAGAAGTTTCTATCATAGAAATAACGGCCCTTGAGTACTTTGGCACACAAGCTGTCAGGCCGGGTGATAAGCCTCCACCCTTGCTTCCCCATCATAGCCTTGTTGAACAAATGCAAATCACGGAATCCCATGTCTCCTTCTGATTTGTGCCGTGTCAAACTGTCCCAACGTAACCAGTGAATATGACGGTTATCTCCGGATCCTCCCCACCAATAGTTCGCAATGGTGGCTCTCATTTTCTTATAGGTGGTTTTGGAAAGCAAGAAGCAACTCATAGAATAAGTTGGCATAGCTTGTGCCACTGATTTTAGAAGAACTTCTCTCCCAGCGCTGCTAGCTTCCCTGCCACTCCAGGAGCCGACTAGCCCCTTGACTTTGGACGGCAAAAATTCAAAAACTTCAGTAGTTGATCGGCCTAGAGCTGTTGGGAGGCCGAGGTATCTATCAGATAGAGCTTCAATGTGTTGGACTTTTTATGTATGGCTTTCAATATTTGTTATTGCAATTATTTATCACCTCTATGTGTGGAAATACTATTGATATATTTGGTTGATAATTAATAATGAACTCGAGGAATTTGTACTCGAGGTGCCGAGGACATTTGTGCTGCAATACAGTATCGAGGAATAATTTAGATCGACCCTACTGGAATATATATATTATGTATGTACATATTTTGCCCGGGTATAGCATAATAGAAGAGTTGGGTTTGTTTTACAGGATCGGCTCTGCAGGCTGTTGACCCACATAATTAGATTGGAATTGATCTCACATATACAATCTAGTTATGGCACATGACTCATACATGTGTGCTAGGGACTAATATATTTTAGACATATCGATATGGTTGGTATGGTTACATTTCTACAACACCTGGTGTTACAACAGAAAGTGGAGTCTATAAATAGGTTCCACCCTCTAGCCTCGTAATGTATTGTGAGAGGCACCACGGAAAAGGCTGAGGAATAGAGGGTAGACCACATAGCCCACAAACCCTACATCAATGTGTAGCTCGGACCTAACCACCTCCTTCACCTCCTCCAAACGGTTTGTATTGAGGAAGACAACCGATTTCTCTCTGTTCACTTGATGCCCTGATCCTCAATTGTAGATGTCTAGGATATGTTGAAGCCTAGCGGCCTCTCTCTGCGATGCTTCTGAGAACACGATGCAATCATCCGCAAAGAGAAGATGAGATACCCATGGAGCGTGGATGCCCACGTGAACACCTCTGGATAAATGCACTGGACCAATGGACTTCAAAAGGGAGGACAAACCTTCAGCGCACAGCAAGAAAAGGTACGGCAAGATCAGGTCCCCCTGCAGTATGCCCCTTGATGGGTTGAAAACACTGGACAAAACTCCATTAATCTTAATAGAAAAGGAAACCAACGTCACACACCTCATCACAAGAAAGACAAAGGTCTCATTGAAGCCCAATTTCAGCATGATCCGTCGTAAGCTTTTGCCATATCAAGCTTTATTGCGCAGGCACCCAATTTCCCTTTCTTTCTCTAAAGGTAGTGTGTGTACTCATAAGCTACTAGGACATTGTCAGTTATGAGCCTTCCCGAGACAAATGCACTTTGTTCCTCTGCCGCAACATCATCAAGAAACAGTCTTAGGCGATTTGCTAACACCTTCGAGCAGATCTTGTAGATCACATTGCACAATGAAATAGGTCTGAATTGTTTCATCACCTATGGGGTTTTCACCTTCGAGATAAGAACAATGGTGGTGCTATTGATGGTTTCTGGTGAGGCGCCACCATTCAAGAATTCAAGCACCGCGGCTATGATCCCCGGGCCCAAAGTCTCCCAATGGAATTGATAGAAACCAGCGGTCAAACCGTAAGATTTCAGAAGCGCCTCATTCATCTCCGGCGTGCCCCTTTCCACCACGTGCTCCAGGATTGGTCCTGGATCGAGCACTTCCTGTCTAGTAAACAAGTTAGCATAGAACTCCAAAGCTATGGTCTCTAAGGCTTCCTAGGTGGTCGCAATGGAGCCATCTACTCGCTTCAAGGCCGTGATCTGATTGCTGCGTGCACGCTCTTTTGACTTAGACTAAAAAAATACAGTGTTCCTATCCCCCCTCTTTGAGCCAGTCGATGCAGGCACGCTGCTTTTCCATAATCTCTTCTCTCAATAGAAGTTCAGAGATCCTCGACATAAGGTGGCGTTCCCTTCTGGTTGGTCCCAAATAGATAGATGTGCCCTTGACCTCCTTCAATTCTTGTCGAAGCCTCCATAACTCCTAACAGACCGACCCAAAGGTGGAGCGATCCCATTCCTTTAGAGTGCTCATCATAGTACTCAGCTTCAGCGAACTCCCTCATATCTGTTGGGTTGTTCAGGCTACTCCACGTTTCCTCAACGACTCGCCGATACGTTGGATCCCTCCGCCACATGTTTTCATAGCGGAAAGCTCTCTGACATCTCCTTCTTCTATGCACATCTTTCTCGCATTCCAAAACTAGGCAATAGTGGTCGGATTCCATCGTTTGGACGTGACAAACCATGACTAACGGAAAGATATTCAAAAAGCCAGTGGTTGCAAACCCCCTGTCCAGACGGTATTTTATGTTGGTAGCATCCGGCTGCCTATTATCCCAAGTGTAGGGCAGCCCAATGAAACCAAGTTCCACAAAACCGCACTCCTCCACTGCCTCTCTAAAGCCTTCCATCTGATGTTCCGTGCGACCTTGTCCACCAATCTGCTCACTAGCATGCAGCACCTCATTAAAATCTTTCGAACATAACCATGGGAGATCACTTTTTGTTCTGAGCAGTTTCAGTAGGTGTAAGGTCCTAATATGGCTACAGGGGAGTGAATAGCCTATTTAAAATTCTACAAAGTCACTAGAGCAATTTGATTAGTAAAACAAACAACGAAATACAAACTTGCTCTAGCTCTATAAGGGTTGCAAGCCACCTACTCAACAATTCTAGTTGCTATGATCTCTAGTCACACGAGAGGCTATGTCACTACTCACTAAGAGCTCTCAACAAGGTTACACTAAAGAGCTCCACTAGATGAAACTAAGCTACAAAGCAAGCTGTCAATTCTAGCTACACTAAAGAGCTTGCTATAACTAGTTTGCAAGAAAATAATGGAGTGAGTAGGGTGATTATACCTCCACGTCGAGAAATAAACCAATTACAAGATGAATACCAATCAATCACCGAGAGAAATCCAATCACACAACAGATACAAGATTTTTATCCTGAGGTTCACGTGCTTGTCGGCACGCTAGTCCCCATTGTGTCGACCAACACTTGGTGGTTCGGCGGCTAAGAGGCGTTGCACGAACCTCGTCCAACAAATGGACATCGCAAGAACGTACCCACAAGTGAGGTAACTCAATGACATGAATAATCTACTAGAGTTACATTTTGGCTCTCCACCGGGGAAGGTACAAGACCCCTCACAATCATTGGAGCCGGCCACGAACAATCACCAACATGTGCTAAACCTCCTCCGCTACTCCAAGCCGTCTAGGTGGCGGCAACCACCAAGAGAAATAAGAGATTCGTAGCCACAACGATCCCTAAGTGCCACTAGATGCAATCACTCAAGCAAATGCACTTGGAATCACTCTCAATCTCACTATGATGATGAATCAATGATGGAGATGAGTGGGAGGTGTTTGCTTAGGCTCATAAGGAAGTTAGAAATGTCAAAGTGCAAAGAGAGTGAGCCCCAAGCCGGCCAAACACTATTTATAGAGCCCCTCAAATAAATAGAGTGAAAGGATCTAAACAATGCCTAGAGGGGGTGAATAGGCGTATCTAAAAATTTCTACACAAAACATAAAGTCACTTGTCAGCAATTGTTAGAAGTCCTGATAGTTTGGGTCGGAACTCCCGATGTCGTTAGAAGTTCCAGCGCAAACTATTAGAAGTTCCGACACCTACGGGGAAAGAACTACAAGTGCTAAAATGAACTTTGTGAAGCCGATAACTTACAACCCCACTTCCTAGTGGTAAAGTGAAGCATTGGGGTTTCTCCTTTGACGCCGAAGGGTCACCACTCCATAGATCGAGTTCAATTCCTAAGAGAAACTTTGGGGAGGAAGAGACACAGCCAAGAACAAATATGATAGCACAAATCACACAACAACAAGCACACGGGACACAAGGATTTATTCCGAGGTTCGGCAACCCCACAAAGGAGCTCCTACGTCCTTGTTGTTGAGGTGACCACAAAGGTCGGAGTCTCTTCCACCTCCTTTCCTCTCTCAAAGCAACCACAAAGGTCACTTGAGCTTTTCACTATGAAATCGAGGGTAATACAAACTTTCCAAGGCTCTTCCACAAGATGGAAGCTCTTGGGTGATGCTTAGCCAGCTAGGGTTCTAAGAACCCAAGAGTAATAGACGCAATTCCAACTAGCTTGACGAAGAAATCAAGTGCTCAAGCTTGCCAAAGTGATTCTCTCACTCAATCTCTCTCTTTTCACTCAAAACCCTAGGGGAATCGAAGATTGGAGAAAAGGGTAAAGGAGAGGGGCACCTTGAATGCTTGGGAGTTGTTTTGGACGAAGGTTGGTGAGCAATGAATGAGTGGGTAACGGTTGAAAGAGAGAAGAGAGCTATTTATACTCATAGTATAATCCAACCGTTCAGATCTGCATCGAAAGTTCCGACATAGATCGCCAGAACTTCCGGCTCTACGTAAAAACATTGTTCCTGCAGATAGTCCACTGGGCTTGCTCGCATATCATCGTAACTCCCGGCGGTCGCCAGAAATTTCAGCAGCCAGGACTCCGGCTTCCATCGGGACTCTCGACAGACATGGCGAGCCAGGCGACTAAGTCCCAAAGTGTCGGGACTTCTAGAGGGAGCCGAGACTTTGAAACCCGAAACTCCTGACTCCCATCAGGACTTCCAATGGGTGAAGGTGCGTAGGAGGGCTATGGCTAAGTCGGCAAGCGCCGGGACTTCTGGCGCCAAAGGTCGGGACTTCCGACAGCCGGAACTCCCAGCTCACGTCAGGACTTTCGACTACCAAAAGTCCACAAACTATGTCTAAGTGTTCGTGAGGGGGATTTTGTCTCTCTCTCTCTCTTTTGATTTTATTTTTATGCTTGAGCACTCTATCTTCCTCAAACCACCTAAACTTGCATCCCT